CAACGATTAACGACGGTTGAAAATAATGAACTCTAAAGTGTTAATAACGATCACGCTGACGATCGATGAGTGTATTGCTACCAGGTCAATCTGGAAAGGAATAAAGATTTATTAAAAAAAAAAGAAAAAATCTGGTAAGGAAGTTCAGTGTCAGCTCCCGGACGGAACAATCTCGCGTGACCATGTTTCACCCGGACTTGTTCCGTTTTCCGCCAAGATGGCGACTTACGCTCGAACCGTATGGAAAGGTCAGCTATATTTTGCCTTTGCTTCCTTTTTTTTTTTTTACAATCTCCATATTATTACTAGTGCTACAGATTAATTGAATGAATCCTTGTCATATAGATTTGAAAAAAAAGAGTCCATGACTCAAAGCTTTATAAAATAGACCACACCGGTGACATCTGCTGGTTAGCGAGATTCATAGCTGATTACATTGAATCCTTACATTATACCGAAACAGTCTTATGCTAGTGTCTGTCTAATGATCGCCATGTACATATGTAAGTGTTGCAGGATTTTGACACTGTATCACAAAAAGATTAGATGTCCTGTTACCCATTAAATCTGAATAAACATGATTTGGATCTGACACAGGTGCACTGTGACTCTCATTGTTTGCCCCCCGTTGTAGGATGTCAGCGGCAGCTCCGAAGCGGTGGCGTTTCCTCCTTCCCTACTTTTCCTTCCAACAATGTTCACGTTCGAGCTTTTGCTGCCGTCAAGTGAGTTCTCGGTCAGCCATTTTGTCCACTTTTACCCCGTTATGAAAAAGGAACAGCGAACACTCAAGTGTTCAACCACACCGTTTAATTTTCACACACAAGTCAATTTGTTTTATGCCAACCAATAACACAAACCACCAACAATATTCTGTCGGAAGTTGGCCTTCATGTTATGGTAATTCAAAACCAGCGAATCACACACGTGTAAGCAACAGGAAAACCTCCATAAAAGGCAATCGCTTAAAAAAATAAATAAAAAAATGTGCACACTGTATTTGTGCTCTCAGGACGTTGAAAAAGGGGAAGAAGGCAGAGGCGGCTGCGCCCGAGGTGAAGAAAGAAAAGAGGGTGGTGAATGACACGAACCGACACAAGCCCTTCGGGAAGACGGCGTGGGCGCCCGTGGATGACGTCTACGTGCTGAGGCACTACCCCAGGACCATCTATAGCGCCGTTGACGCCGTCGAACTGCTCAAGAGCTTTCAGGGTTTGGACTTCACGCCGCATGACCAGCCTGTGTATGTGGACCTCAAGCTGGACATGAAACTGGAGAAGAAGGTGAGCGGGGCTCCAAGTTCGGCAAATTGTTCCTGTTCTCCACAAATGCATAAAAGTCCTCCAAAGTTGCATTTCCACCTCAAGTTCAAGAGCTTTTACTTCCCCCTACCTCTGTCTGCATTTCCTGCAACGAAAAGGTTCCAAACCATAATGTCCTACCCCAAAGGTTCCTGGAACTGCCAAGTATCTCCTCGCGGGGTCTTCTGCCCAAGTAGACCAGCCCACTTTTCAATGCCACATTTCCACCTAAAGTTCTGGGAACTTTCACGGCTTGGTTTTTTTTTTTTTTTTTTTTTTTGGTTAAAAACGCCTTACCATACATCGTCGTTTTTTTTTCGGCTAAAAACGCCTTATTATACATGGTCGTTTTTTTCGACCAAAAACCGCATACTATATATACATGGTCGCCTTTTTCGGCTAAAATCGCCTTACGATACATGGTCGTTTTTTTCGGCCAAAAACGGCATACTATACATGGTCGTTTTTTTCCGCCAAAAACGGCATACTATATACATGGTCGTTTTTTTCAGCCAAAAACTGCATACAATACATGGTCGTTTTTTTCGGCCA